AACAACACAAGGTTCATTTTCCTTAAGGGTAAAAGTAAACAAATTTTTATACAGCTTTGTTTTCCATATGGCATGATATCCATTTATCTTCTTTGAAGTTTGACCCCAAATGTTTGGGGACAGGTTTTGATTCGGAGACAAGAACCCAAATGTAATTGATGGCTTTTGGGATATTCATTGATATTGGGAGAAATTTACATGCTTCTAAAACAGGCAACAAGCTTGAATAATTTATGCTTGGATGCTACTGTTCTTGATAAGAAGTCTTGTGGACAGAAATATACTGTTTGCATGTTTCTATAACACTGATTACTTTTACTTGCAGCTTGGAAATAACGGATCAGATTTTACTGAGGAAGAACTTGATACACACACAATATCCGCTTGGAAAGAGGGAAAATCATATCTGAATAGGCAAATAGATGGACATGTCCGGGCTCTACCTAGACATCTCATACATGTAAGGGATCTCTCAGGCATGCTTGTATCTGTAGCATGTAAACTACCCCCTAATTTGTTTTTCACCATTCATGCATCAAGCGGAGTGGAAACGTGTAATTATTCTTGGCGCTTCATTTTTGTGCTGCACTTATAGGAAGCATTCAAATGGCTTTATCTTGAGTTACTATATATATAACAAAAATGTTTGATGTGGCTTTTGTCCATTGATCTGGATTTTGGCTAATGTGCAGGCTGGGCCATATGACAACTTGAAAGAGGTTGCTTTGAGAATATTGCAGAATGAGGTGGCTACAGTTCCCATTATCCATTCATCATCAGAAGATGGCTCATTTCCTCAATTACTGCATCTTGCCTCACTCTCTGGAATACTGAAATGTAAGGCTTTTTGGTTAGCTTGCTAAGTAGCTACAAATAGTTTATTACTAACTATAGGATGTTAATTTCCAGGTATTTGCAGGTACTTTAGACATTGTTCTGGCACCTTACCCATGCTCCAACTACCGATTGGTGCAATACCAGTGGGTTCATGGGTTCCAAGTATTGGAGAGCCTAGCGGGCGCCCGTTGGCCATGTTGAGACCAAGTGCTTCTCTTAGTTCAGCTTTAAACTTGTTAATTCAAGGTATGTTAGTAATTTCTGTAAAGTGCAGACAGAAGGAAAATAAATTATCAACAGAAGAATTCGTGTATATTTTGGAAGTAGAAGTTCAAATTCTTAGTGGCAAATATTTGTAGCAAACTACTTGAAACTGCTTTACATGTATTACACTTAAAAGTTACATGGAACTTTCGAAAATCTTATTGATTGGATGAGGTGCATATGAGTATACTATTTGATAAATTTCTTGAATTGCTGAAAATTGAAATAAAATTGACAAGGATCTATTTATCAACTAATAAATTATTCATTTTTTGTGTCTCCCATTTTATGACTCACCTGATTCTCCCTCCTTTTGGATCTGATGGCTGGGCCCTGTGATTGGGTATTTTTCCTACTTAAACCCCTTACCACTAGTGTGCCTAAAATTGGATTCTATGTTTCTGGTATGATGCCCAGAGATTTCACTGGCTAAGTTAGTTGTTATGTGGGGGATAGTTTAGTCGTTAGGAGAAAATAAGTTGTTTCCTTTTGGGGTAGTTTTCTATGGTTTCAGCTAGACAAGAATATACTTCAGCTATACATCTTGATCTTCTTGTAATTTTAATACCTAGTATTTTTTTATCACCTTCTGTACTTGCAGCTCAAGTAAGTTCAATACCAATAGTTGATGAGAATGACTCGTTAATAGACATATATTGTCGGAGGTAACTTGTTCTTCTGGGTTTGATATTCTTAAAACCATATTTTGCAACTCTTCTTCGATGCTGAGGCTAATTATGTGTTATCATTTGTACAGTGACATAACAGCTTTGGCGAAGGACAAAATTTATACTCATATTAATCTTAATGAAATGACTATTAATCAGGTATCTTCTCTTTCTACGCCCCCGGCCCTTCATTTTCCCTTGAACATGTTTTATGAAGCTACTTCGTAGTACTTATTAATTGGAAAGTAATGGCTTTAATTATCTCAAATAAAATAAATAATAATCAAAATAATAGAGATCAAATCTAAAAAAAAAAATGAAAGATGAAGAAATTAAAATAATAATAATTAACATTTTATAAATTATTTCAAATAAAATAAGTAACAATCAAAAGAATAAGAATCAAATTTGATAGATAAAAAATTTCAATAAAAAACAAATAACAATTATAAAAATAAGAACCGAAGTTAATATAAAATTTAAATTTTAAGAGATGAAATTGAATAATAAATATTCAAAACAATATATATATATAGTAATCAAAAGTTTGAGGACCCAATTTGATATAATCAGCAAATAATATAACATTTATAAATTTTTCACAACTTTTGGAAAGTGTTTTCCGTTCAAATTTATCAGGAAAACACTTTCCTGGAAACTAAGTCAAATTTTCTTCTGACTGGAAAGTGTTTTCCGTTAACCAACTTTCATAATGGCAAATAAACACATGAAAGTTTGGAAAATGGTTTGTCGGAAATCACTTTTCGGGAAACAAACATGGCCTTAAAAGACTAGGTGAAAATGGATGTGATGATAGTATAAACTCCTATATAATTTTCATGGGAATTGTGTTCAGTGTGGAAGCAACTTGTGATGTTATGGTCTTGAAGGTTACCTCTGGGTGTTATCTTGTTGCACTTGGACCAAATGAATCCTTTTTGCTTCACATGTATCACATCAAAGGGTTAATTGCTTGCTTGGGCAGGCTACATAAAATTATTGGAAGTGTTTGACTTTGTTTAGTGTATATGTTGCCCCATTGTTTCAAAATGTAATTTATAGTTTAAAAATGGTGCTTGACGTTTTCTGATCATGGTTTTTCTTAGGCTTTGCAATTGGGACAGGATGTCTATTCTTCTTATGATCTGAGAAGTCAAAGATGTCAGATGTGTTTGCGCTCTGATACATTGCATAAAGTGATGGAGCGATTGGCAAACCCTGGTAATCTGAATTTCTCTCCTTTACTGAGAAGGAAGATCCTGTTAAATATCTTCCAATGACTTTTTGGAGTGCCTGGTTGTTGAGTAGGTTGGAAATATTATTTTTGTAGTATGTGTTGGTCATTAGGATATTAATTCTCTTGATTTTCTTTGCTCGTGATCACTCAAACTGCAGTTCCTGTCCTTTGTCTTTGCTTCTTTCAAGCAGCCTGAGCTGTCATCCTTCAACTTTTGTTGAATAATTTATTTGTAATGTTAAAGTGCTTGGAGGACTTTTAAAGAACCAGCAAAGCCTTTGCCAAAAAAAGTTACTTTGGTTACAAAGAGCCCTGTTAAATATGATTGTGGTTAAATTTTTTTCTGAAAAGATGTCTGTTATTGTTGTTGTTTTCATAGAACTTTTGCATAAGCTCTTTTTTTTTCTTTTTTTCTCTTCTGAAAATTCACGTGGTACATTTTTTTAAATTCATTCGCCAAGTTTCACCAAGTTAATGGTCCTCAATCCCTGGGTTTTCAGGTGTTAGGCGTCTTGTCATTGTGGAGGCTGGCAGTAAACGTGTGGAAGGCATTGTGACACTGAGTGACATTTTCAGATTTCTACTTGGCTAGTTTGAAGCGGTAAGTTGTTAATGGAAAGGGATGTATGGAGTGGTTTTGGACAACCTCCACACATGTTATTGCAGTATCTAAAGCCCTGTGCCAATGTTACTCCAGCACTTTCCATGGTCATATGACCCAGTGATTTGAAACCTACATTGGATTATTTGAAATCTCAAGCCTGCTTGGCCACCTGTTTTAGAGTTTTAGGCTGAAAAGAAAGGGCTAATTCCCAAATTTGTTAATTTCCTCCCTTCCATGTATTACGAATTACTTCAAGCTGTCGTAGATTCCATGTATATGAGGAGCATGGTATCTGTTATGTACTATGCTGCCACTAACTGAGAAAGGAGATGGGGAGGAGGTGAATGCTTGTTGTCTGCTACTGCTTCATTGAGCTGTGATTCCTCAGGAAAATCTGGTAAAGATGGCATTTGATTCATGTTGTTTCGTTATTCTAGTAAATACATGCAAGAGAAAATCTATTCAAGTTAAATGGCATTATTGTACCTGAGTCAGCAGATGGAGAACCCTTGATTGAGAATGACCATCCTAGAAAATCTGATAATTTTGGCTTTTCGTCCTTTCTGCATTCCCCCCCCTCATCACCCTCCTCGTTCCCAACAACCCAGTTCTTTTTGTCCTCCCTTCTTTATCTTCGTGTTCTTGCTTATGTTCTTTTACAGGAATGTCTGGGGTCTTCTTTGTTGATTTGTATGTATCAGGTTAGCTCATCCTGGTGGACCATTAAATACTAATAAAGCTGTAGCCTTGGCTAAATTTCTTGACAGAAAACTTCAAGACCCAAATGGGTTGGCTTCCATTGATCCTGGTATTCTTGAATTGGCTGGCAAGAATGCCAAAGACACAGACTTACTAGTAATAGCTAGCTCTGTTTGCCTGTGCTCTGCTGCCGGTACGGATTCTAAGTGTTAAAAATGTCGTTGTGATTATGTGTTTTAATGCATAACCTGATCAGGTCAACCCAGTTGGAACCCAATTTGATGCTTCAAAAAATGTTCATGTGGTTGATGTTTAAAACTATTGTTTTTTCCTACATTTTGAGATGATGATGTTATAGACTAATGGAGGTCAACCTGATAAATACAATATATAACTTATAAATCTCATTGTTTGGTAATTTTGTTTTTTAATAGTAACATTAGTTTGATTATTGCATTTGAATAAAATAAATGAAATTATATATTATAAAGGGTTAGTAAAAAATAGGGACTGCTAACATTTAAAAGAAAATGATATTATCTTATTGAAAAATATAAAAAAGTGACATCTTTAGATAATTAAAAAAAAACTAATTAATTTTTTAAAAAGAATTTTAATTGAAATTGAAGACATGTAAGGGTGGGTATCCCAACCATTTTTTTTTATTTAACTTATTGAATTTAATTTTAATTTAAAACTAAAAAAACAAAAAATAAGGTTGGCAGGCTAGCCCTACATAAGGTCAGTATGTCTAGACTCCTTTTTTCAAGCATTTCAAAGGGGTGGATTGCATTCCCTGATTCTGATGATATGTGGTTGGAAAATTGATCAAAGTTTTTAAATTTCAAAAAAATATTTTTAAATTTATTTTAATTTAAAACATTCAAAAACACCTTTAGAGTCTCAAGAAAATAATTTACCAAGTCCAAATACTCTTAAATTGATCAAAAAATACAAAATTAAATTGAAACAAAAGTTTATTTCTTGATTTTAATCTACTTTTTTCTGCAATATAAAAGATGAAAAACCTTAATAGAATTCTTCTTGTCAAATAAATTTATTAACACAAAAAATAATTTTTTTTTATGGATTGAATAATTAATAATTTTCTCTTTTCTCTGGCATTTATCATACATCATCTTTCTCTCTCCCTTTCAACTAGAAAATTAAATGTGAACACTTTTTACTTTAAAAGCTATATGTTTCGATTCAAAACTTCATTTTGTATTGAAACATATAATTTTTGAAGTAAAAGGATTAAAATAGATTTTTGACAAAGTCCAAAGGTAAAATTTTTATGAAAAGCTTGGATTAAATAGTGCTTAAAATATCATCCATAATGTTTTACTTTGTTTCAATTTAAGTTCTACTATTATTATTGTTCTGCCTTGATTCATATTAAGCCTTTTTTCTGCAATATAAAAGATGAAAAACCTTAATAGAATTCCTCTTGTAAAATAAATTTATTGACACAAAAAATAAATTTTTTTATGAATTGGATAATTAATGATTTTCTTTTTTCTCTGGCATTTATCATCCATTATCTTTCTCTCTTCCTTTCAACTAGGAAATTAAATGTGAACACTTTTTACTTTAAAAGCTATATATTTCGATTCAAAACTTTATTTTGGATTGAAACATATAATTTTTGAAGTAAAAGGATTAAAATAGATTTTTGACAAAGTGAAAAGGCAAAATTTTTATGAAAAGCTTGGATTAAATAGTGCTTAAAATATCATCCATGATGTTTTACTTTATTTCGATTTAAGTCCTACTATTATTATTTTTCTGCCTTGATTCATATTAAGCTTTTAAACAAAAATAAAATTATGGATGTAATTTGATGAAGAAAATTGTAATTGTGCTGTGACCATACAACAGAAAAGATCCATTAAAAGTTTCAATTGGTTTAATTGATCTAATAATATGATAGATTTAAAACTAAAAAGTTTTAAAAGATTTTCAATTGATTTTTTCAAGACACATGTTATAGATGAAATTTAAAAAGATATTAAACAATAAAGTATATGCAAGGGGGAGGCATGGTAAGAGCTTAGGAGGTGGGGTCTAATTCAGGTCAAGATTTTATTAATATTTTTTTTTATTAATTTTATATAAGAAAATTCATAAATTTCAATTGAATTGTTAAAATTTTTAAAAAATTTGCATGGAACCTTCTAATATAATGCTTTATTTTGGGTTAAAATTTCAAAAATTTTAGAGAAATTTGATAAAAAATTATAATTTGATCAGTTTTATATTATTTGACTTAATTTTCAATCCAACTATCAAATTGAGCTGAAATTTTACAAGGAATCTTAAAATATATTGAATAAAATCTGGTTAAAATCTTAAAATGAATGAAGCTTGATAGTGCTAAAAAAACCATCAAATAAAAGCAAAATGACTCATTAAGAGTAAAATTGTTATTTACTATTAAAAACTAAAACAAATCAGCTCTTTCTTTTTATATATATATATTGCCAACTGAGTAGAAGCACAATAGAAAAGGAAAGAAAAGACAAGGCGAGAGAGAGAGAGATAAAAATCAGGAAAAAACATAAAAAAAATTCAAGGGAAAAAATTAAAAAAAATGAGAGAATAACCTTGTAAACTTACAAAGTTCAACTTATAAAACATAATCTATGGAAGAATTAAGTGAAGGAAGAAGGAATTGAGAGGAAAAAAATTTAATTACTTTATTTTTCAGTTGACATGAGATTGTTATTTTATTTCGGGTGTGGGGTTGTTATAATATCGATTTAGATTCGATTATAGATGAATTATATTCTGCAAAATTTCGAAGGATGCAACTTCAATAATGTGTTTATTTTTATTTTCACTTTAATTTTATATACTTCTAAATTTTTTTTTTAATATTTTAGATAGTGTATTTAAATTAAAATTTTACTGTTAACTTTGAAAATTCATATACAAAAATGAATAATTAATCTTAAAAAAATTATATATTTATTTAATAGCCTGGCTCTACCCTTAAGTATAAGCATTGATTAATTTAATTTATTTTCAAAATGTTTATAGGTAGGCATATAAACATTACAAAATGGTTGAAATAAAAAGATTTAAATTCATCTACTTTAACATTTCATTATTATTTTCCTTGTAACTATGGCTAAAAAAAAAAATTTAATATGACACAAGTTGCATTGAAAATTATTTATATCTTTTTAGTGATATATATAATACATCTTATAATTTATTAATACAAGAGAAAATTATGCATTTAAAGTTGGGATTTGATTCTTTTAACAAATTATAAAAATAAATTTAGTTTTATTTAAATTAGTTGGGCTGTGATTTTATT